ATAGATAGGAAACCTGAGGTACAGAGGTAAGTGATTTGCCCAAGGTTATGCACATACTGTTGGCAGATCAGCAAGTAGGCTGCAGGCGCATCCTCATTTCTTGTCCAGCATCCTATTGCTTGGCAGTATTAACATCTAAATAATCGTCACCAATTCCCCTGAGCATTTTCACATGCAACATGATGGAAAGCTCTGGGTCTGTCCCCGGGATGTCAGTGCTCCTGAAGAATGCGCGATTATCTGTCATGTCCCTTCAGGGCTTCCCTTGAAGCAGAGGAAACAGCCATTCGGCGTGATCCCATCCATTCCTGCCAGCTGGCGCAGACGAATGGTCGCCATCAGATATATTGGTGGTGGTATCAAAGCATATTCATCTGTAACAGAGGTCACTAAAAGTTGTGCTGCAATCAGCACAGCTACGTAACCTCTGTCCTGCATGAGGAGATTCAATTGTTTTAAAATGTTTGAACACAGCAATCATTATGATCAATGTCACTCAGCAGGAAAGAAAAATAAAACCACATTTACTGAACAACAAATATTGGCAGTGCTTCTGAAACAGGCCCAGGGCTTATTGAAAAGAATATTGATTGAGCCAAGAAAACATGAAGCAGTTATAAAAGTTTAATCATATTCTCATTCAAGCCTGCCTTCAGTGCCAAGAATTAAAATTCTCTCATCTCCTGAGGACTGAAGATACATTTCCATAATGTGCTGTAAGCTCCAAAGCTCTGCATCTGTACAAAATGGTAGAATTATTCATTGCAAATGATTTAGCTGAGATACGTAGCCCTTTTGTACTGTGAGTGCACAAATTATGCATAAACAAGCTCTGTTGTTTTTTTTTTTTTTAATCATTTCTCCTTTGCAGTTGTTTTAACAAAGAGCTGGGCAAACCAGTATTAGCCCACAATTCTTGAAGTGGCTAAAGTAAATATTTGGTCTGCGTGATTCACCAACATATGCCTGGTCACTTGAACCAGATGAAATTACAACTATTCCTCAGCTAGAAAAGACAAGTTTCATTAAAAGAATGGGTCCATGTCCTTATTAGAAAATCACCCACAAACATTTGCAGCAGCCTGAGAGACCTACTGTATGTAGAGAATGAAAAGACGTTTTCAGAATGGCATATTTTGGCACATGTAGTGGCTGGATGTAGAAGCATTATGTGGTTTTAAAGCACAGAAAAAAAGTGTTTGTGCGGAAAAAACAGGAAACGTTTTCTATGGGCTCCAGTTCAGAAGATTAACACCTTTCAAAGCTGGGCTCGCTGCTCTGGAGAACAAAAAGAAAACAGAGCTATGCCTGGAGCTGTCATTTCCCCTCCTCTTTCAACCCTCTGCTTCTCCAGCGACTGTTAAGCTTTCCTCGAAGTCAGCTGTCGCAGGGTCTGTCCTGCAAGCGGAGATGTGAATGCCTCTACATAGCAGAGGCAGCCGTAATGCAGCTTGTTGCCAGGTAGCTGGCGCTGTCCCAGGAGCAGTGATGGGGTGGTGGCCCAGGGCATTGGCCCCTGTTGCACACACCTTCCAGGAACCCCTGGGCAGCCTATCGTGCTGCTCTAGGGTCGGAAATTTTTGTGTGGTAGGTAGCTGGCTAAATTAAGGGTTACATGGCACATGCGCCCACAAGTTGCAAAACTGACTTATATCCTACCCAAGCTGAGGAAGGGAAGGGAGTGTCCTTCCTCCATTACCAAGCTCTTAAGAATTTGTGGCTACCCTCAGGGTCAGTTGCTTCAGAAACCTGTCCTGCTCATCTCAGACCTCTGATGTCTGACCACTGCAGACTGCCAAAGGAGGAGTTAAACCCTTCTGGACACAGAGGCTTCAACTTCCTTTGTAGAGCCTATTGCTTCTGAGGTGCAAGGGATGCTCACAACAATGCATGGAGTTTGAATTTCTGTCTATCACCTTTCTGGCCCCTCGCCCTCCAACTGCTTTCCTCTGTGGGATTTCTTCAAGGAAGTAGGGGAAAAGCTTCCTGTGTGAAGAAGGGTTTAAAATTGGAGTGGGGTCTGCCTGAAGCTGGCTAGAGGACTGGGCTGCAGGGAAAAACAAAGGGCATGGATAAAGATGTGGTAGCAAAGTGTGTTCATCATGCTGCTTTGACCAGCCAGACACTGTGCTCCCTGTCACTTAACCCAATATTTGGAGTGTCATACATCAGCGTGCTTAGTTGAATGGAACAATTCAGGCCTGCCTTTTGGTACAATTTCCTAATAATTTAAAAAGAAGAAGGTATTGCTTTTCACTAATTTTCTGCCTTACTGTTATGATGCATGAGGTAACGTTCCCTTGGACATTTCTTTGTTTAGAGAAGGGTCTGGCAAGGCAGACATAGACCCATACTGTGAGGTGGGGGTAAAAGCAGCACAATGAGGAGATGGGTGTTAGAAAGTATGAAAGGAGCTGTTATTCCAGAGACTCTATCTCTTGCTTGTATGTTTTGAAGGCCTCTTTTGGTATCATACATAGATTAGCAGCATGAGAAAAAAGCTGATGAGAAATCATTTCTAGATACAGATTAAGATTATTTTTAGAGTGGAAATTAGAGCTGTATTTATGTAGTTTACTGTATCTAGTGACCATATTACTAAACAGATTATAGGGAAATTGATTCTAAATAAGGGGGCCTTTAAGAAACATTTATGTTCATTCAAACCTCTCTAACTTTGCACTCTCTGTTTGGTTTCGCAGAAACATCTGGAGAAAGATCTGTAGCCAAATACTAATCTCATAAACTCCACAAATGCTAACACCATCTGTGGCAATTTTTACTGCAAATCATCACAACATGCGAAGTCCTTCCGTCAGTCTGATAAGCAAAGCCTTGTCATGGGAATGGTGTCACAAGGCCTCCTTGCACCATGGATCTCATTTCCAGTTGTCTCTGTTTTAGATGTATATGAAGAGATGCTTTATTCTCTCTCTTTCCAGTAAGGAAAAAAGATCATCTTCTCCGTGTGCCTGGAATGTCAATGCAAAGCAGAAGTCAAAGAAAGCAAAATGAGCAGCAGGAGTAGCACATTTCTGAGTAAACAGTTTTCTCCAGCGTAATGCTAATCTCCAAATGTTTTATCTGTCCTCTCCTGCTTGTTCTCAGGGTCGGACTCCCTCTCCCTCAAGCTTCTAGTAGTACTAGTAGCAAAAAAGGAAAAGAATTTGGAGGAGAAAAGGATTTCAGCCACAAGCAGACTGAAACAGTGGGAATAGCAAAAAGATACGTGTCATGCTCTATTCACGTCTCATTTGCTCACTCATGTCACATAAAATATTCCCTCCTGCCAGCAACAGACTGCCTTGTCACAAACATATATTGGCATCATCACTCTCCAGAAAAACTTTGGAGCCTTGCGGGGATTCTGCTTTGAGGATTTCTTTACCACCTGAAGCAATGATACAGCTTATTTCTTGAACACATCTGCCCCTAACTGCCCCTAACACAGGACATGCAGTTATGGTCGTTTCTTACCCACTTTGGGCTGTCTTAAGATCATTGATTGGTGCTTACGTATGGTCTCGGCAATAGCTTCTTGCCTATTTTGCACCATTTGGTTTCTGTTCAGAGACCTGGCAGCATCTGGCATTTTTCTAGACAGGAGGCAGAGAGGGTGACAGCAGAACACATCCTCTCTCTGAATGGGCACAAAAGTTTTTTTCTGGAACAATCAAAAACCGCCAGGAAATACCAGATTTAGATTTATAACCATTTTCTCCAGAGGCATTTACTAACGCTTGCAGGCAGAACTCATTTTTGGAGCTTCCCTTTTTTGGTGCCAGGACTATGCCTTTGTTTTGCTAGATTATTCATGTCAACCACTTCAGACAGTAGTTTCGACATACTGACCTACCCCTAGAGATGCTTTTCTCTTTACACTATCTAGGGAAAATCAGCTCCTAACTTTTATGCGCAGGAATCTCACCACTTTAAATATTTTGAAAAAATAATTGATAATTAGAGAGCTTGAATTTTTTTGTGTGTTTGTGTCCCCTGTGCAGTTCAGAGTCCTAGGGAGGAACCTAACATTTCTTGGAAAATTATAAAAACATTTTGCTTACAGGTAGTGCTGGTCCTAAATTACAGTTTGTGTTTTATGAGCTGCTTGATGTTCACTATTAACAGAATGTTATTGGAAGACATGTCATTACTTAGAAGATCACTGAATTATTGCGCTCTTCACCAGCAGTCGATTGCTAGCTGACATTTTTATTAGAAGCTGAGTTTGTGAGCGGGATACTAAAAGAAAAGATTGACCTAATTAAAAAGTAGATAAGAAAAATGGAATAAAGATGCTCTTTTCATATAGACACCTTTAGTACAATAAAGGAACAATGGAAGAACAATAAAAACTTCTTTAATTGCAAATGTTTGACATTGCTCAGCAAGTATTAGCAGGTTTTTAAAAGTAAGCTCTCTGTAGTTGAAATCTGAGGGGATCTGGCTTCCTCCAGGAGAGAAGCAGTTTGTCAAATACTTATAATTTAAATAAAAAGTGGGAAACGTGCAAACACTTCCCATCCTGTCCAGAACCATTAAAGCTACATTTCAGAGGTACACTGCCAATATAAAATACCATCATTTTTATTGCTTTGGGGAGAGGGGGGTGGAAGGAATATGTGGATGGATGCTAAGAAGGAAAACCCATGCCTAAGGCCTGATAGCAGTTTCATTTCACTCAAAACTATGTCAATCCTCTTCATGAATATTTCGTTGTTTTTTAAAAGGAAAATGGTAGCGCTGGCAATACATTCCTCTTTGTTTTTTAAAAGTGTTCTCAAAATACTTACTTCATTCTTTCCCTCTACCCCTCAGCAGTGCCCCACAGAAATAGTGCTTCATAAAAGGTTAATAAGATTTTGAATAAATCAAGAGTTTAATATGTTCTTTAGATGTTTGCATGAAGAAATTTTGTTCTGGTTTACAATCAATGGAATCATTGGCTTATATGGGACCATGAAAGGTCCCTAAGTCCACATTCATTTACCATTCTGAGCATACTTTGAGTTTTCCAAGAAAAGTAGAATTTAAGAAGTCTGTAGCTGCTATGTATATTCAAAGAACCAGAAGACTAGATGGCTCAAGGGATAGGAAGATGGAATACCAAACTTTTTCTCTTTAGATCAATTGCTCAGACCAAGCTGCGAAAAGCAATGTTTGAATATCATTGCCATTCATAGAATTTTTAGTGACCTGTGCAAAAAGAAGTTGGTGTCTTTCCTAAGTGAAGTTTGCCACAGCATGCAAACTCCTCCTATGTGTAAAACACACACGAGCTTTAAATATTTAGCTGCTATGGTCTGTATGGTGCAGCTAATCTTATGTAAGGTCAAAAATTAAATGCAGCTCTGATATCTTTTCCACACCACAGCAAGCTTTCTTCCCAGTTCTTCAGGAATATGTAACTGTGGCATAAGGTTTAATTGTGCCTATTAATGCTTAAGCAATTTCATATCTACAAGAAAAGGTGATTTGCCTGTGGCCTTAAATTCCCAGATTCTCAGAAGAAAAATTACCTATTTATTTCTTAGTATATTGAATGATCAGGAAAAAAAGAAAAAAAAGAGAGATAATGTTAGGGCAATTAGGAGCTGTTTGAAAAAAGGGAACTGTCACACTAATTACCTTTAGTTGTTCAGAGGCAATAAAACAAGCATAGTGAAAGAGCTTATAATAGAGGAGAAACTGCCAATTACCCTGTTGATTGGCTACGCTCACCCAGTTGCACAGACTGAATTTGATATCTGTGATTCTTTCCAAGGTGCATATGGTGACAAAATGAGTAGTCGTTCTCTGTGCACATCTATCTTACCAAAAAAATCTCTCTGCCACTCTGTGATAATAATGTAGGCAGCAAGCTTCTCCAGACGCTCCCAGCAGACATCTGCATCAGTCTTGCTGATCGTGACACTTCTTGAAAGCATATGCTATAATTGTTTTTTCTCCCACCCAGTTGTTTTAGAGCAAAAGCATTTGTGTAGGCTCTGGCAGGCCTCAGAATCAGTGGCTCAGCACCACTCGTTAACCACATATCTATTTGCTAAGGGTAGATGTACTGTGAGGTAGCATTTGACTTCTTTTTCCCTTTCTGTTGTCTATTAAAATAGTAATAAGCAACCCAATGGGTCAGCTTACAACATTCCTTTTCCTTCATTACTACCAAGTAGCTTGCCCTCCACTGCTACAAGTTGTGGCTTCAAGTTGTCTCTGAACAAGACTTTAGGGAGCCAGGTTGATGGCTCTTCTGCGTGCCACCTGATTTCACTGCTACACCTGATAAGCAGCTGACAGATTGAGAAGAATGAAATCAATAGCCAGCTGTGGCCATAATGCATTTATTTCAATCACCTGTGCATCAAATGATGCTTAAGTAGTCAAAGGAAATTTAAATTAATCAACTTGTAAAAAAAATCTAGTAGTATAAATAAAGCCTTAGGAATATTCCCAAACACATATGGAGTTTTTATAGGTAAATATTTTTGGAAATGATACGCCAAAGTATTTATATTAAAGAGAAAAGATATTTGTTTCTTAATTACACTGGCTTCTGCTAAATGATTTCATATGCAAGTATGGAAAATAAGCATGTCAGCCACCTTTATAATATAGTTTCACAAAAAGATGGCTAAGAATTTCCTTACATTCACTATTTTTTTAAACATGACACAATGCTCTTCCTGAACTGGTAATTCACATCATATAACTACAACTACACAAAAAAATTACGTACATTTAAATAGAAATATTCTCTTTTAAAAATCCCTTTATAAAAAAAAAGTCAGTATACATAAGTAGCAGTCACTTTTCAAAGCCAGTACCTTCATTAGCTTAAAAGCAAGAATCCAAAATACAGCTGTTCCCCTGTACCCAGACACATTAGACTGGACCATTTTATTTTAAACGTTAAAGTCAATTCTGAAGAACACCACCCTCATAGAATCTAAATGCAAAAGCATTACATTAAAAAAGTGATATTTTTGAAGTCTAGGTTGAGAAAACTGATACTGACAGTTAAATATTAATGTGTCAATAATAAGTAAATAGACAGATTTAAAGTCCTAACCCACCAGCAATCTCATGCATCATTCTCTTTTTTTTAGAAAGGATATAAAAGTGCAAATGTCAGAACTATAATGTCAGAACTGTTTATAATGTCAAGTGATGCTTGTTGCGTACTTTCAGTATAGTCTATCGATCAAATCAGAAACTATGATAATAATCACAGGGATGGAGCACATTTCATTATGTGCAAATGGACATGGATTTGAAGTGTGTTTGGAAGAAAAATATTTTCATATTGAAGTCTTAATAATTGTTTCCTTCATCCTGCTAGGATCCATGAACAAATTATTTGCATAAAGCTGATGCTTCTGATAATAACTAGTATTGTGGTACCTGCAGGATGCCGCCAGCCAAGGAGAACTTGCTCTTGCAATACAGTGTTGTAATTCAATCAAGCCTGTTGCAGACGTGAGAGAGAACCAGTCCCAAAAGAACCAGAGAGAACTGCAGAATTTTCCCTTTGCAGCCAGCTCATGAAGTTTCATTTCAGCTCACAGAATTAATCTTGTTACCTATATGGTAAGGTTGAGTTGCTTTTTAGCATGGTTTCCCAAGAAAATGAGGCATATGTGATCATGCAGCCTGTGAAGCCCTTGCTCTTGCTCCTAACAGCTACCAGATTCAGACATGATTGCAACCCAGTTTGGAAGAAGGTGGAAGTCTCAGAGAGACTGAATTGTTAAAAGCTTTTGCCCAGGTATCTGGGCAGAGTGAGAATACCTAAATTAGTATTCCCCTTGAGGGAAAGGCAGGAAGAATTCAGCTGTTAAACAGTCTGTTTGACAGAAGCCGGCAGTCCCATCAGCGTGTACCAGTAGTGACACCTCTTACCTTTTGTCTCTTGCAGCCATGGCAAAGAGCCCCATGAGAAGTGGAATTGTTTGGAAAAGGAGGACATAGATGTCAAAGGACACAAATCTCTGTGAAACCAAATGACATTCGTTCTGGCACTTACAAAATAATTTGGTTTTAGCTATTCATTGAACTTCTAATTCTACTATACAAAGATTAACAAATTTTCATTCCAGTGCTTCTACAAGGTTAGTTTGAAAGAAGAGTAGCTGACACCTCCCCCAACAGAAAAACATGTAATACAGTCAAGAGTGGCAAACAGCTTTTTAAAGAGGATGCGCATCTCTGGAATATTAAGTTGATTGAGGTGTTTCCCAGATAATCCAGTGCGATTCTGAGTACCGATTAGAGCAAATGTTAAGCTAATGCAAACAAGGCTTCATTCTTAATTGATGCAGATAGAAGCCAATCCTATCACCAAACCAAATGTGGTTTATCACCACATTTTAAATAGTAGGTTAGAGAACCTGTATGTAAAAGAAAAAAATGCATTAACTCTGTGTCTTCTAGAAAGGTTGTATTTTGTGATCTTGCCATTGTTTTTCCAATTACTCTAAACAGTGTTCATAAAGACCAAATAAGTTATTTGTACTGCATCAAATAGTTTTTCTACTATGTCTGGGCAGAAGTTTGTGTCCTGTAGCTGCCACAGTCAGTGATGAGAGAAAGAACAAAGAAAAGGAGAGAGAGATGTGGAGTCAAAAGTGAAAATTCTGAGGGAGAATTATTCCTGGAGCTAGGTGCCTGCCGGGCAGGCTTTGACAATATGAAGCTCCCTGATTGATTGCGTCAAATGTTATCTTCCTTGAAAACGATGACACAGATGCTACATCCATCGCTGAAGCCTTCAGATGCTGTGCCTCCTGCCGTTCTGTATGACTTTGAGTACGTTGGAAAGGTCAAAACTTTTTGTAATCAATTCCAGTAGATCCCCATCTCTTTCCACACCGCTTATAAACTCTTCTAAAGTCAGTTCCCCTAAAAGGAAATCAAACACTTCTTAGAAACCAAGGAGCCCTCAGCCCAGCACAAGGCCATTCATGCCAGACTGTATGCCCAAGAAGATTCCCTGGTCCTCTCTTTTGCATTGATATGGAAATACAGGAAGAATCTTTTCTAATGTTTCCCCACTTAGCATCTGATTGTAAAACTAAAACTCATTTTCCTCTGTTGAAAGAGATCAAGCATAGCTTTCACAGGAGTCAAAGACAACTATGAGTATTTAGCATCTGTGGTGACAGATGTGTGTGAAAAAGGGCTCTGATGAAGCCTTTATCAAAGCTGAATTTAACTGCGCAGTCCTATTCGCACTGAGATAACGAGTTTAGCCTGTAGCTGGCGGTTCTGCTCTTAACAGAGATTAGAACATGATTTCCTGAGGATTACCAGGCATACCCCATGTATTGACTATAGGATTATTTAGAGCCATGATAAGATGTAGTAAAAATCAGTTAAGTGGTTTGATTAGAGAAATTCTTCCAAGCAACTGAAATGGAGATTTAGACTTGGTTTTTGGGGGCTCACCTCAAAATGAGGTAATAGCTTGGAAGTTGCAAGACAAGTATACAAATCTCTGCTTTGAGGAGCTGGAATATTCCTTAGCATTCTTCCTCTTTTCCCGCTTCCTCTCCCATTCTTCAGCAAAGTCCTAGGTCAGTCCTAGACATATTTCTACTGGTCAGTCCTAGACATATTTCTACTGGCAAGCTACACAGGAGCGTAGGTTAGAAATTATTCCAGTGATAATGTTTTTCTCTGAGAGGAGAAAAAGAACTTGGTTTAAAAAGAAGAGTTTGGTTTAAAGTTAGTTTTTTTCCTCTGAGAACAGTTTAAAGTTTTGTATTCAAATCATTAGAATGAATGGTTTCTCATTGAAATAAGAAATGAAAAGAGGCCAGGCAAACAGCAAAACATCTGGATGACTTAGGCCCCCAGGGTATAGGCAAGCAGCAGTTTAAATCCCATACGCTTCTGCTGAATGCTTAGCTAGATGGCTTCTGGCAATTTGGGGATTTCAGTACTCCCTGGAATTTTATTGTCTGAGTTTTGGGTTTTGTTCATGGCAGCTTCGGAAGTTTCCTCTGATGTAAAACAGGAAAATGATCATCATTTGAAAAATGTGAAAACCACATCAGCAGTAAAGGCTGCTGCCTCTCCAGGGTTATGGGTCCTCATTGCACTGCAAGACCCCATTTGACAGAAGTCCTAGTTCTTAGGCTTCAGTGAGTGGAGTCAGACCCTCTCCGGGGGTTGGCATACAGCGCCCTGCGGCTGTTCACTCCTCCCCTCTGGACCCCAGTGCCCTCAAAATAACCATCACAGGAGTGGAGGCAGTTCAAGCCATCCCAGTATACTTGTCTGCTTCGCTCCCTGCTGCTTTGCTACTCAGCCAATCCCTTCCTCAGCTCTGCCTCCTCCTATCCCAGGCACTCTCTAGGCAATCCCAGGCAATCCTATCCCTGGCAATCCTAGGTCTTTGGATGGATGGTGGTCCTGGTGTGGCCCCTACAACCAGGGGATTATTTCTTGTACTTGAGCAAGAGGAAGGAGATCACTCAACTTCTTTGTCTGTCTTTTAATAAGCAATGACAAGGACTAAAGGAAGTGGCATAGCTGGAGCTGCACTTGGGAAGATTTGCCCCTTTGAGGGCCGTTTGAGTTAATCCTGCTGTCTTACAGTTTTGCAGCTATTTAAAAAATAGCTAACTATGGAAGACAGTTTGAAATGGGAGCATTACGAGGAACACACTGAATAATTCATGTTCTAGCATCTCATTGCTAAAATGAAAGGCACACAAACTATCTTTTCATCTGATGGTCCAGCTCAGATACAATTATTACAATTATTACAATAAAAAAAAAAAAAACAACAGCCCAATCTGTTCTCCTGGACCCTCACTATACCTACACCCCTTGCAATATAGACAAAGCAGAGGCCAGAGTAGGAGTAATTATAGAACTGGGTTTAGAATCTAAAATATAAATATTTATTTGGAGCCTGTAATTTGCATTCACCCCCAAGAATGGGCCAAATAGGTGGAGAAAAATCCTCTACAAGTTATTCACATGCATCACAGCAGCATTATTTGTATTACAATTATATATTGCAAACAGCTTTTTTTTAAAGTAACCTTAATGTACTGAATGAGACCACAAAAATGACCCAAAAAGCACCCTAAATCCCCAGCTAGGATTTTATCTTGCTCTGCAATGTTTTCGTACTATTCCTAATTTGTCAGCAATTGCCATAGTGGATGTATAACATAATTGCGAGCAGGAGGAAGATCATCATGATTACAAATAGGAGGGAAGATGTTCACATGTGACATGTTTTCTATTAGAAACAACTCCAAAGCAGTGAATTAAAGTGTAGTTTCCAATTGCAAGTCCAGTTAGCTTAATTTAACTGTCATGAGAAACAACAGCGCCACGTGTTCTAGGACATGTTAACCATCAGACTTCAAGGGCCATGAGATATGCTGTCCAATCCTTACAACATGGTAGAGCATGTCCAGTCATGCATCTCAGTTGCTTTTCTTATCCATTTTAGATACAGTAAGCCATTACAGGTATGCTAAAAAAAATACCTTGACCACACCTTCATTGTGCTGTGCAGTCAGAGCACTGGCATTTTGGATGAATGGTGCAAGACCTCCATGTTTTAGCCACTGCTGCACTGATTCCCATGCCAGGTTAACAGTGTCAGTTGGTTTAGACTTCACTGAAAATCTAAATTAATTCTGTTGACATATGGCTAAAGAAGAACAGGGTTAGGCCTTCGGTTTACCTAAAGCAGTTCTCCAGTACTGTATTTAACTCCCTTCCTGATCCAACACTTTCTTCTGGGGAAAAAAAAACCAAACCCCGCCAATGCCAAGAAAACCTTGGCAAAGAAAATTTTCTTGGTAAGAAAATTGGAATTTTCTTGGTAAGAAAATTCTTACCATCATTGTTCACGTCTATCTTCTGAAATATCATGTTTGTGAATTCCTCAGCAGACATGTCGGTGTGGCCATTAATAGCCTGGATAGCCTGAAGACAGAAATGCAGAAAGTTCTTTCAGACCTTTCTCCATCGAGTAGTGAAAATAATACACTGGCAACTACTGTGGTAATTGGGATGCAATTCTTTAGTTCACCAAGCCTTTCACAATCACTAAATAAACAGCTATTTCAAGTAAATCTTCAGTAACGAGGATTCAAAATTTAATTAACATAACACAGCCTAAAGATTACAGACCTAATTTACATATCTCTGAAGGCCTTCTGAAACCATGTGGCACCTCTGTTCTGCAATAGACTTTAGATTCCACACTAACTTTTTTATCTTGCCCTAGAGAGTTCTGTGTCTTTGGAGGGTGCCCCATGGTCTGTGTGATTTAAATATAGTGTTATTACTCACAGCTGAAAGCACATGATGAGATAGCCTAAGTCAATTTTCTATTAAAAAATGTTTAACTTAGTAATCACAAATAAAGTCAAACTGGCAGTCCTGGAAATCAGAAGAATTTACTTATCCTCCAAAGACATTTTTTAAAAAAAGTCTTCTCTATACCTTTTCCGTGGCAAAGAGACTCACCACTTGGGGTAAAAGGTGCCAATTAGTATCTTTGCAATATTTTATGCCACTCACTGAGGCCACAGTTTTTGCATCATGGTGAACATTCTGCTTAATGAATGAGGAGCCTGTGTAACCAACAGCCCAGATGCAGCAAACATGAAAGCAGAAGTTTAGCTTTAAACATATGGTTACAGAGTTGGCCTCAGAATCAGTATCACAATTACTAAGTGACTAGGCAAGTGCAGATATACGTCTATGTAGTATACATACATGCATAGGTGCTCTGTAGTGTATGTGGTATAGAATTTTTTTTTCTACATCTAAAATGTGTTCAGATGAACTGTGTTGTGTAAGATAAGTAACTCTTGCAAATTTATGAACTATACTTATTCTAATGTCTGTATATGTCACTCACTTATTTCAGTGCTCCTGATGTTATTTAGAACTCTTTATATTTAAGCATAGTGCAAGATAGATGTATTCAGCACTGGTGTGGAAATCTTGACCATCACTGTCTTTATCTTATTTTACATAGAGTTCCAAAAGGCAGCAAGAATTTTACATAAACAGGTGCACAAATTTTTGTGTTATTCAGTCACACTTCAGATAGTTTTGATAGCCTGTATGGCCAACCTCAATGCAGCTTTCAGAAGAAAGCTGTACCTCTCTCACAGTTAATTTTATTGTAGTGCTAAGAGTAAAGCTGTGATTCCTGAAGTGCTTAATGACTGACTACCACAGCGTCACCTAAAATAATAAAACAAATTAACTTGGCAGTTAAAAGGTTCTATCAGGGTGCATGGTCATCTGCCAAGAGTTTTGGTGGTTGATAATGATCTGCTGGTCCGAAGTTTGCGTAGCTGTAGGGACAAATGAAATTGTAACAGGACTTCTTTGGTGTAAATTAATGTTTCAGATTTGATATATCTTTTTGTACAAGGCCTCGTTTACTGATGCTCAATATAAACAGGACCCTTAATGGCTGCAAGCCCATATGTTTGTTTGTATTTAGAGCCCACCTATTTTGGTCTAGCCTAAGTCAAATGACTTAGGCAGGTTCAAGTTAAAGCTCTGTTACTCCAAAAGAGGAGAAAACATACAGAGGTTTGAACTGGTTTTAAAACTAGGTAAGTTAAACAAGAGATCTTCTTTATATTAAAAGGATTCTAATTCTCTTTTCAGATAAAGCCTGAGACAAAAGCAGTGGCCTCAGTGCCTTTGGGTAAAATATGATGGAGAATATCTACATTAAAAAGATGTCATTAGTCTCAAACGAGGACAAATCTAGGTCATGCAGCCTCTCCTTCTGCCTTTAGAAAGTCATTTTTTAGAAGGAGATGCATCAGCCTTGTTTGTATGACCCTGTGGCTAATCTGGCTCCTGTTTATTTTATTTGGGCAGTGGCTCTTGCAAGTTTCTAACAGTGACTAGCCAGATACCAGCAGTAATGCACAATCCAGGAAAGTATTTTATTATGTTGTTTATTATGACATTAAATCCCTATTTAGATTTTATGCTCCCTGCAGCAAAATCTTGATCTGTGATGAATTCTGTACATTTAGGGAGCTGTATTAAAAGTCATTCATATTTGCAAAGCACCCTATAATACCTTTTCAATGAAGGCGGCTACTGAAGTGCAAAAATATTATTTCACTGGAGAAGGTTGAAAAATGAGGAAGTCATTTGACAAGAAACAATTATACTGCTTTGGTTTTATTGGTTTAGAATGGACCCATGTTCTGCAAAATTTTCTACAATATTTGTATCAAAATGACACTGCATGATTTGATGATAAAATTAACTTTCTCCAGTTTAATTTTTGAAAACATGATACTGAGATTTATTGTAAACAAATCTAACAGTCTTTCACTAACAATTAAAATATTATAATACAAATGTCATCAAAATATTCCAATTTTTTTTTTCACAAGCTCAGTTTGAGAAGCTGTTTTCCACAACACCACACTGGCACAAACACTTGTGACCAGCTGTTTTATTCATTATGCTGCTTCAGTTCTCTCCTGCTTTATAGTGTAGGTCATCAAAATAATATCTCTATTGTTCTTACAGTTTTTCACTTTCAGTAAAACATTATACCTGTAGAACTATGGTTTAAAGTAAAATACTCCTCAGATATGTTGACTTCAACAAGCAAGAAAATAATGGCAAGAATGTCACTAGCAAGAATAATTTCGATTTTACAGCTGTAAAACATCTGGTAAAGCGCAGACACTCCATTTACAACAGATGACAAACCACTATGTCAGAGGCAATATAATACGTCAAATGCACTTGCTGTTGGTCATAACTTGCTTACCGTGAATATGCTTAATAGTTCTTTTTTGTCAATACATCCGTTTCCATCAGCATCATACAGCTTAAAATACCATTTCAATTTTTGGTCAATTTTCCCTCGTATAACCAAATTTATTGCAGCTATGAACTCCAAGAAGTCTATAAATCCATCCTAAGAGAGAGAGAGAGAGAGAGAGACAGAAAAAAAGTGTTTAACAACATTGGTTTTCTTTTCATTCTGGCAATTTCATAGAAACAGGTCATGAAAATCACTGTAAAACAAGCTGATTTATAAAGCACCTTAACTTAGAAATCTCTTGTGGCGTTTAAAAAGGATGAGCTCAAATGAAAGCACTATAGAAATAGTGTTAACACAAACAGTTTTGTTCTTTCCCAAAAGCTGGGGGAGCGAATCTCTTCTAAGCAATTGATATTGACATCGTTTGAGGAGAAGAAAAACAATTTTGTGGTAGACTTCCAAAAGCAAAAGAGCGAATTCTGGGATACCTGATTTAGTACTAATGAAACGTCTACAGTAGTGCTGCTTATATTCCTACAGGTAGGTAGTATGTAGAAATACGAATGGTTTCCAGTGCAATAGAGCTGCTCTAGGTGCTACTCATCTTGAGAGATCATGCAGTAAGTATTCTACATGGTAACCAACAACTTGGAATGATCTCTAGATATTGTGGTTTATCCATATAAACATAAGGTCTCTCTGACTAGCACATTTTGGAAGAGATATAAAACCTTCAAGTCATAAATCAGTCTCAAAATACTGAGGATTGGGGGATATTCATAGGGACAGAGCATCTCGGATTGATTTAATCCCATACTTTTTGCTTTTTTCCCTGAAGCATCTGATGAAAACCTGTCAAGGACAGGACTTAATGGTCAAGTAGTCTGAGCCACTCTGCTAGTTCCTCTATTTCTGTAAAAATGTGTTGAAGATGGAAGAAGCAGTTGCTGAATTTGGACAGTACTTGCTCCAGATGTTTCTCATTCATATATAAAAAGAATTCACAGTTGGTAAATTTAATCTTGTAATCTTTACATTGGCCAGAATCCAGTCCCTTGGAAAACCTTGGGAAGACTGTCATCAGTTTCAGATGGCCTGTGATTAGCAAGAGAAGACTGGATGAGTATCTAGTAGGTTCAGTGTGTTTTTTCTTGTCATACATCCACATACATCTTGCCTTTTTGAGCTTTTGCAATCAGATTTTAGTCTATCCTCCAGACTCCGCTAGACTAAAGGAAAATAAGTGCTGTAAAGGTGTGGTGTTACTCCTAGCCATACATGTAGCGTTTATTTTGATTTCTGTTTAGTGGTGTTTGGTTAGGTTTGCTGTGTCCTTTATGGGACCGCAGAAGCCCTACAGTACAATGCTGTTTGGCAGAGTGACATGTGAGAGGTAAATCTGACGTTTCAAACACACTGGATTTCATATGCGTGCAGAAGTTGTACATGCAGGGCATGTGCAGGATGATCATTGTTTCACAGGCTCTCTGCACAGGTTCTGCTGTGATCGTTGAATTTCCTCTAACTGCAAATCCTGCAAAGACAAAGATACCCCTCAGCCACTTCTTGGGATGAAATGAAACTTGACAGTAATTGTGTAAAGTTTTCTGTAAAGATTAAGCCCAGTATTGAAAGTTACGCTTCTTTTGGCACATCAGCTTGAATTTCAATTTTTGGATTTTCAATTTTCTTGAATTTCAAGAAATATCAAATATTTTACAGGAAGTCTAGGTTATATTTCCCTCCTCTCATTTTACAGATCTATTAAGAACACGGTCAGATGCAGCTGACATTGCTGCTTCTTTATTGATGTTCAATACTGTTTATTGAAACTAGAAATTAATGTTAGGCTTGCTCGTGACCAGACTCATTTTCTCCTTTCTCCCATACATTTCATCTTGGATTTTGGCTCTTGTGCTTTGATGTCACTTTTGCTGCTCCCACAAAAGATCAGAAGTTTGGAAAATGTAACCATCAGCTTAACATGCTAGGGGTATGGAAGGCTGCTTCGATAGATCTTATGTCCTGTCCCAAGCAGGAAGGGAGGCAGGCTAAGGTAGAAAAAACACATCTGAAACACATCTGAGAAAAACTGCAGTTGCTAATAAAGTCCCAGCCACACTCTTTCAACGTGTAAAGACCATCAGCCACACGTTAACCTCTGCAGTCAACGCACCAAAAATAAATAGCCATGTCTGCCTTCTCAGTATTTCTATGTGATATGGAACCAGAACTGTTGCACAGAGGATTGATAGGAAATAATGCTTTTTTTTTTCCTGTCATCACCCCAAAACATATATTATAGATAGAAAACTTTTATTTGCTGCAGAAGGCTGTAGTAATCTTGTTACACGTATCCAGAGCTTTCCCAGATAAAGAGAAATACTGTTTGTTACGGTAGCATCCAAGAGCCTCAGAATAGCACATTAAATGATGAAAACCTTCATAACAGTAACATATGAAGCGCATCCTGTGGTTCTGTGATACTGAGCAGTTATTGCATTGTGATGTTATTAAGAAAATCCTATAGTGCCAATTCACCTGTCTCTGCTCTACAACCCTCCACAAGACGAGTATCTAGGTAGGTCCTTGTGTGTCTCCAGACTCTGTAAAATTTCACGCTGTGCAGTGGACACAGCAAAGTATCTGTTGCTCATTAGGAAGTCAGTCAGTCACAAGCAAAGAGCTACCATAAAAAGTAATAAGCAGAGCTGCTTGCTAGTGACGGAAGATATAAAGAATTCACTCCGGGTGTTTTACACAGTTATTCCAAAAGGCTAGCTTGTAATATTTTTGTTACATGGAGTTTGTGCTGGTGAAACTTGCTTATTTGACTGCTTAGGACACAGGACAGATTTGTGTGACTTATGTAGTTCTTGCTCATTTAGGCTCATTTTCCACACCTAGATGGAGCTCGCCCCTCCCTTCCTTAGCTGCAGCACGTTACGGTGGAATGCCCCAGAAGCCCCAAAGGAAAATGAATCCGTGCTCTCCTCCTCCACCCGTACGACTGGGAAAAGGTTACAAGGCAGACTTTCTAGATATAATGCAAAAGAGGAGGAAAATCTCCTCAAACTATCCTGAGGGGCTGCTGTTTAGGAAGGCAGAATTGGTTGCTTTTCTGTGTCTGCTGAGATTGGCAGCCTCTCTGGCAAACAGTGGATGATGCGAGGAACCAGCCCTGAGAACCACCAAAAAGTATACAAAACTCCTTTTACATGTCCTCGAGGGCCAGACACAACATTTTGGCGCTCTCTGGGCTTACAGCATAGCTTAGCTGATTTAATCAAAACAGATTTTGGGTTATTTGGTCTCTAATAGCTCGATCAGATGGACTAGACGCATAAGGACATATCAAACTGCATTACAGTTGTGTACATGTTTGTTTCCTTCGATACTGTGTATTTGTAACTTTTTTTTTTTTAAGCTGGTAAGAGTGTATTTCAAGTCCCTTGAAACTGAGGGTTTGATTAACAAGACAAACACAAAAGGAGGCTGCAAAACTGGAGGGAGAACTTACTGATTGTATAAAGTTAAATGCTAGGGCCTTAAGAGCGCTGATAGGTCTTAATGGCCCTGACCAGTCTCACTGAGGGCCTCCATCCACACCCTGCCATGGGCCCAGAAGCCCATTTAAGCTCAGGACAAGGCCCTCAGTCCCTGCCTGAGCTGCGTTCGAGGTGACTCTGTCTCAGTCCTGTCCCTGGCCCATCTTCTGGATAGTCCTCAGGCCTGTGCTGTAGGTAGCTTGTTTCCTGGATGGACCTCTTGGACATCTGCTGGGGCTTGGCTCTGGCCCTGTCTCCAAGATGGGCTTTGGCCCCCTGTTGTAGCCTTGTCACTGGTTCTCTCTCTGGCCCCAACTCCTTTTGCTTCTGAAGAAAAGATAAGCTCTTCCCTCTTTGCCCTTTTTGGAGCCTGCACAATGCTCGGCCTCTACTGTGCTCAGCGTTTCGAATGCTACACTAGTCACAGTTGTAGAAACACGGCAACAGGTTTACTGTTATCCAAAGACCTTTTTGCTTTAAATCCTGGTAGACTAAAAGTGAGACTGAATACTGTGTAGATACAAAAGGAAAGCAAACCCAAGGAGAATGAAAAGGGAAGAGCTATACTCCAATACACACCTAAAACACCTTTTATCATGCCATTCTTAAACTAGCTATTTTCATGAATACTGACAGAGAGATTCCTTTTTTCTGAAATCGACATCCACAAAACAACATTTGAAACTGAAACAACTGACGAAAACCTCTTGCTCTCAAACCTGTGCCTCGTTTTCACCGAGGGGGATGTACTTCTGCAGGCTTTTGTGTTGAAGTCTATCACAGGTGTAGCCGTATCAGGGCAATAATGCAGATCTCTAACTCTGGACAGACCCTTACATTGGGATGAAAAGCTTTGGAAATAATATATGTGAACTTGCTAAGGTAATTACAGTCATAAAGTTGTGTCAGATGTACATTTATTAAATAAGTTCTTCTAGTCAGTAAACATCTCACTGATTACACTGAGCAGAATTTATCCCTTTTCTTTTTAGCACATCATGAGCTATAAACATCAGACTAATTTCAGAACAGGTTTCAACGCAGGCAAAAGAGGTGGTCAGTGGTCTCACTCCGTTATTAGCCCTCATATTTGCTAGCAGAAGCTGCTGAAATTGTGAGCTCTCAATCAGTCAAAAGAAGCTCAGTGACATTAGGACTGGAGAAAGAAATCTTAAAGCTGAAGGCTTGAGAGTCTGAGCTCAGCTTTGCGATATTTGATAGGTTACAGCAAAATTGAGCTGGAGCTGTGAAAGTCTGCTTTGAAAGGAAGAGATTAAAGTGGAGACCTTGCAACTAAATTGGTTTTAAACAACAGTTAGTACTATGGGGTAACAGGACCCCATTCACTTCCGCCCAGGTCAGGCTAACCAGAGTGGTATAGCCCACCTACTGAAAATAATGATGAGGTGATGAGGTTTGAGGATTAATCTTCTGAAAACTGAATTATTGGAAGCATCTTTAAATGTTTGAATGTAACTAGAAAACCTGCCCAGAAAGAAATAGATTTCCAAGTACTATCTGCTTTTGCGTCAGATACATTGAGATGTCTGTGCAGCTGGGCAAGGGCAAAGCAGTATATAAAAAAGGGGCTGCACGTTAGTTTTT